GTGTGTGTGTGTGTGTGTGTGTGTGTGTGTGTGTGTGTGTGTGTGTGAGTGTGTGTGTGTGCAGAGAACACTGAAGCAGAGCTCCTCCATACCTACAGTAAGGTGGACCCTCTGGACACTCTGATCCTGTGTGTTCGTCTCGCCGTCCTGGTGGCCGTCACTCTGACTGTACCCGTGGTCTTGTTTCCTGTAAGAACATGTCTGGCCTTCACACACACATCCAGCTGAAATTCTCTGACACTGACCAGGAAAGCCTGCGCCTTTTTGTTCTAAATTACATACAAAAGTAAAGTGGACAGGGTTCTGTGAACTCTCATTTCTCAAACATGCAAAGGCCAGTCTCTAAGGAAGGCCAGGCAAGAACATGTCAATCAGGAGATACTTCTTTAGAATTTAAGAATAATTTATTACACAAGCATAAAATTTGAATAGTGCAAAGTCTTTGACGATTGGACTCCATCCTGAAGTATGATAATAGAGGGGTAGTGATGCTGAGGTCAGATAAGGCAGAATCCCCCTGGAGTCCAGACACCAATGGTGGTGAAAATGATGATGAGGAGCGTGACTGTGATGCTGACTGGAGGTAACTGGGGTGGAGGAGGGTCACATCTACTTAGAGCTGAAATGACAACTGACAGCAGCAGAGAGGAGAACACTATTTAAAGTTTGACAGCAATGATGTGATTGGCTTAAGGAAACTGTGTGCAGAATCTGGTTGGTTACTTTAAATTGAACGCCCACAATCAGCTGATAGACTAATTACAAGGAGAGAGAGAGACAGAGATTATGAATGAAAAGGAGTGTAAAGAGAGTCTTCCTGACTGAACTTGCGCTTAAGCTTCATTTAGAGGAGGTGGACATAATAGTTCACATGGTTTATTCAGTATAATGTACATTTGCACAGCACACATTTAGGCAGCACAACAACATGGATGTATCCACTTCTATCTACCTTCTGTCGATGTTCCACATTAAAAGACTGTATATATAATAAGGAAGCCTCCCCGCTTAAGCTGCGGGGAGGCTTTTAATGTGAAACATCTGTGCAGGAAGCTTTACTAGATACTGCTCTCATTGTCACTGGGATAGTTTACTGGGACAATTAATGGAACTGAGCCATCTTTAATGTTAATAATTCCACCTGAGCATTTGGACTAGTTAATGAGGTCCATTGCTCAAAATCAAAATATGGCACGCATTAAAGTATAATATAAAAATGTTTGCAGTGACAAGATTTTGAGATTATTACGAGATCTTTTGTTGTAATTTGTTTGTTGTGATCTTTTGTCTTAATTACAACAAAAGATCTCATAATAATCTCATAAATCGTAATTATGAGATATGGAAGCCATAATTACAACATATGGCCTCCCTTTGTATTTATTTATTAGTTTGTTTGTTTATTTATTTATTAGTTTATTTGGGGAATGCTATGAACTTCTGTACTTTTCCAACATTTATAAATGCCTCAAATGGACTTGGATTGTACTGGTTGTACTATCAGCAAAATTTCTAACTTATCACATCCATATTTTAATTCTGATGAATCATCATGCGTGATATAAGATATTCCCTTGCTGCTCTGCTCTGATTTCTGACCTACAGTTCTTCTGGTGTTTGACACTCTGACTTGATAGCCGAGCAGCATTGTGCGTCCTAACGTCTGTGTTTCTGTCAGATCCGTCGTGCCCTCCTGCAGCTGCTGTTTCCAGGGAAGCCCTTCTACTGGCTCCGTCACATCGCCATCGCCATGTGTCTGCTCTTTGTTGTCAACCTGCTGGTCATCCTCGTTCCAAACATTCGGGACATCTTTGGCATTACTGGTGGGATATTAGACTTGGAAGCATTAAAAGAGCCTGAACAAAAAGGGGCATTTGTGAAAAGAGACATTTCTTGTCAAATTCATTTCTGATTTTTTAATAGTTTTCTCCCACTAAATAATTTTTCCAGAATATATATATTTTTTATATCGGCCATTTTGGAGTTCCATATCAATTGAGAGCAAGTATACATCAGCCTTATGTGCAGTATAGAGAGTTGGTGCAGACTGTGGAGGGTTCCGGATATGTTTTATTATTCAGTTGTTGGTTCTTGTCTGGCTTCTTGTGTGAAAAACTGTTGACTTTAAAATACTACTGTTGGTTTATAAAGCACCCTCATCTGCTGCTACTTTCTGAGTGAGGCTACATCACTTTTGCTGAATGGCAAATGTAGAGAAGAGTCATAAAGTCCAAGAAATGATTCAGTAAGATCAGTCACACAGGAATTACTATCTAAAGTCTGCAAACAGTAGCTAACATTAGCCTCCATAAGCTACTGGTCATACCTGACTGTAGCAGCAAATCCCCTGAGGGTATTAACTTGGCGAGGATGTGTTTTACTGCTGATGAGTTCAACTCTTCAGTTGTAAGCAGAGAATTGTGTTATTTCTTCTTTTTTTAAAAGTTATGTAGTATCACTGTAAAATAAAAGCTAAAAATGTTCTGTCAAACCAAGAAAAATGCATTACACAGTTGGCCTAAGCACTGGAGTTTCAGCAAAGTACAGATTCACTCGTATTACAGTCAACAGCTTCCTCTGAGATAAATTCTGTTTTACAATGAAATGATTTATTGTGCCTCCTCTGTGTCTAGGGGCAACCACTGCTCCCAGTCTGATCTTCATCCTTCCTGGACTGTTCTACATTCGCATCATCCCCACTGACCAGGAGCCCTTGAACTCAAGACCAAAGATTCAGGTAGGTGTGTGTCTCTCCCTGACTGGGAGGGGTGACCCAACAACAGAGTTATTGGACGTAAAACTAAGTGGGCCTGGTGATTCTACATTGTCATATCTTCTTTGGGTTTTCAGGCTGCGTGTTTCACAGCGCTGGGTTTCATATTCATGATCATGAGCATGACGTTCATCGGGCTTGACTGGATGAGTGGAGAAAAGCGAAATCTCGGCAGCCACTAAAGTGTACCCCAATACAGCAGCCCAGATTCAACCTACTGCTACAAGGCTCAAGGCTTTTGTTGGACTGTTTTTATTAATCATAAGGACAATCCGTTCCTCCAGAGTGATGAGAGGAGCCCAGTCTTGACCCACCCAGGTTGACATATACAGCGTCCCTCACAGGTGGTGTTCTTCTGTTCTACATGATGAGCTGACAAACATGTTAACTATGGAAGCCCTTCAATCATTCAAAGCTATCTGTCTTAACAGAGGCTAAATGTGGTGTAGAATAACAGAAATATTAAAAACATATCTTTAATTAAAAACTAAGTTCGATAGAGAACATTTATTTGTTATGTGCTTGATAAAAATACATGCGAGAGTATGAGGTTATTAAATAAATTCCCTTCAATTGATGTATTGTGCACTGTGAGTCTGCAGAACAGTATTTGGTAAATTGGTCAAATTTTTTATTTTGGTTTACATCAGCGAAAAGTCAGACATGACGTGTATACAACTGTGAACCAATTCGTTTTGTGATTCATTTGTGAATTTATTCTGGATAGCATATGTGGATATTGTTTAATAAAAATTCACAAAAGATTGAATATGTTTGTTTCGTACTGTATATAGCTTCAATATAAGTTTGTCTTATTATATTTTCTGAACTGTGTGGTGGTAATCACAAATCAATATTACAAATAAGCCATTGCATAGGATTTAAAAATATATAAAAAATACATTATGTTTCACATGCATAAAAAGGTAGTGGGAAACAAGTCCACGTCCCAACTCTGCTGGCTGTATCGGGGAACAACTGTTGCCATAAAGACTCTTTGAATATGAACTGGAGGTATGTTATCTCCTACTTTAGTGGCGGCTGCTAGCTCCAAGGTCAGAGTGTCCAATGGTTTGTCACTCTGTCGTGGCATCTTCAAAACACTTTCTCCTGTCTCCTTTTGAACCATTGGAGCAAGTGGAATTAAAAATGCTGTCCTTGCCCATAGTGCTTGCTTTAGCCTAGACTAAGCACATTGGTGAGATCCATGCACTTTCCGTGCATAATGCATGTATACAGTCTTAGGAATACTAAGGTCAGTATACAGCCTAACCCCACTTTTATCCAGAAGGTTTTTGCTCAGCGATATAACTGTCCACCTTTTACCCCCCGCCTTTCTCCTCCAAGGACCAGTTATTTGTGACTTGGTTATTTGTTATTTGTGACTTGGGCGAAGCCACACATGCAGTGTCCAAGCAGCGTATTTCCCACTGGATAGTAGGGGCTATTGCCCTGTATATCAAGGGTCTCCAGCCTCCCGCTGGCCTGCATAAGCACTCTACCAGAGGTTTAGCTAACTTTGGGGCTCTCTTTAAGGGGTAGTCTATTGTCTATTTAAGAGGTCTGTGTGGTGGCATGTTGGGCCTCGCTCTGCTAGATTTTATAGGTTGGATGTCCTGGCACAAACTCTGGTACATTCAGTCCCCAGTGTGGATTCTTCTCAGAGCATAGTGCCTCACGAGTGAAGGGGACAGTTGCCTTATTTACTGGCATATCTAGCAACCAGGAGTCAGTATTTTTCCCATAGTGAGACATGAAACAAATGCTATGAAAGAGAACTTAAGGCAATGGATACAGCCCCAGTTCTATTTAGCTATTGAAGTGAGGAAGAGGTGAACTTGTTTTGAATGAGAGCTGACACTATGTCAGCATAATATATAGGAGGGTCCCATCCCCTCCTGCTCAGGGGTGACCCGATAGCCTGAAAAAGGCATATGACACATTAAGTGGTTTTGATGGTCCTATCCATGTTGAATTATTGTCCTCGAGTGAGACAGTGAACCCCAAATTTTTCCCAATGACAAGGCCAGCACCTCGCATGGAACGCCTGCAGCCACAGAATACGACAAATTATAAAAGCTCTTTGTCCGCTAATGTCAGAAAGGTGCTAATCTATTTGTAATCCAAGCATTATCATTTACCAATTAGTTTATGCTTATGGGGAGGATTGACTGACAGACCATATGCCAATAGAACAGCGACATTCAACACTAAATCGGCATTTGACACTTAAAGCGTGGCATACTTCTTTTTGCCATCACTTTGTTCTAACTTGAGTTTTCAAACGTCAACAGCAGGTCCTGAACACAAACTCAGGGAGTACCTCCCAGCAGCACGACAAGGTAAAACACCAAATAGTCTTCAATCCATTACAACCTAAATATTTGCCTACATTGGTGTTAAAAGTGCAACGGCGCAATGAGGTGTAGATGATGTCAGTAACAGTAGGTGCACTCATGACCAGCATCTTCTTAAGGCTGACAAGCGCTGCTCTTCAAGTTTGTAAGGCATCTTTATTCAAGCTGGTACCATATACACAACAATACTTTGCTGATGGGGCTGGACTACATTCAAATGCCATTCACTCAACATACTCAGATCAAATATAATCATGACAATGAAGGAACTGCTAATGTATGAAAATGGTGGAATAATTCCCATATTAAAAATTCCTGAACAAAGATTTTAGTTTAATCAAGATATCTTATGAAAACATTTCATACATCGATATGAATGACTTTACATTAGAACAGAAAAGGTCTGACAGCACCCTCTGCTGTCCACTATTGTTTCCTTTAAGTACAGAGCAATCAGACCAGCGCATAGGCCCTCAGAGAGCACGTCCAGCCGGAGAAATCAGTTTGAAATGAAACACTAGTTGTCATCTTCATCCATTTATACAGATTGTGCATTAAAATGCCAGGTTAACTCCATGGTTCCAAAGTCAGCTTGCCTTTCTACAGAAAAGCAGGTCTCCAATGGCAACAGAGGGCGGTGTTTATGAACAACGGTCTCTTCAGTGTGAAAACTGGAGTGCTGTTTTCAGTCCCATAGGGATCCAGGTTTTCACCACAACTTTCACCTCAGCAGGCAGAGCGGAGTAAACCAGAGCTTCCTTCAGCCTTCTCTGACTTTGGCAGCGAGGGCTGAGTTCTCCTGTCGAATCGCCTTGTAGTCTTCCAAAATCCTCTCCAGGTTAGCCACAGTTTTACTACCATTTTCTGTCTCAATCTGTGGACAATTCAAGATGCCATTGAAAAATTCATTGTACAGTAAATCTCTGAACATGCTGCTGCATTTTTTTTTATTTTTTTTTTTAAAGAATCAATTTGGGGACAAACATCAATTCCATCTCTGTGTCCAGTTCAGTGATATTCAGGTTCAAGACATGTTTGGACTAGCTTACAACTAATACGGAAATCTTTGGAATTCTGGTGTACGGTGGTTAGGAAATAGAATTTGGAGAAGAAGGTAAAAGTTCACAGTTGAATGGCTGGTATCAAGTTCAGATCCTTAATCACATGTTAAAACTATGGGCACGTGAGACTATAAGTGACAGGAGTGAAATCAAAAGCTTTCAGATATCTGGAAATCAGAGATTCTTTTTGAAAACGAGTTGAAACCAGATTTCCCACAGTAATTGTGACATGTTGGTAGAGTTTATGGTGATGATATATTGAAGAGTTGAAAGACGTGTTGTGCTATATTTAGGCAACCTGACATGAGAAATGATACTACAATAGGACAGATGTCTTCTTTAGCCCTTGTGTCTCACTAGGTACATTAGTGGCTGTGTTAATCCATGGCATAAATGTTGGAAAGGGTGCAAGTTTTATTTGATGTAATGCATGAAAACCAATGTTGTTGCTAATCACTGACAAACCCAGAATGTATAAAAGAAAATCTATTTCCCCTAGAATTTAGTATATGGAAAATAATTAAATGTTAGTGGTTTTTTTTTTATAACAACACACATTGTGTAATTCATATTTTGTAGTTATAATCAGAACTGAAGTTGGTTAAAAGATTTAACGAGATGAGTGGAGAATAAAAATATAAAATGTTTTTGCAGTTTTTTTAACACATATCTTTATCCTCCAAGGACATCAGAGCAACTTATTTAAAGTGAGGAAAAAGGGTTTAGTTCCATTAGCAGCAACCAAGAAGGTAATGGCCCAAAAAGGACCCCCTCTGAGACAATGGCTGGACATTGTTGAAGAGGTATGTGATATGGAAAGACTCATGTGTTATATGACAAATGGACTGCTTATAAAACCCATCACTAAGACACTACTAAAACCTTAAGACTGAGATACTTCCAGTTGTAGCAGTATGCTTGTGTATGCTGGCACTTACTTTTGTGTTTCTACTGTAAGAACAAAAGTAATTTGTCTTTCTAGATGTGTTAAATACACATGCTATATGTCAACAAGATGGCCTTTGATGGGCTGCTCCCAGTCCTTATGCTAAACTAGGCTAACAACATCCTACAGCTCCGGTCACAAAGATGACACAAAGATGAAAGTGATAATGATCTTCTCATCTGACTGTGTAACCCAAAAAAGTGTTAGTGTACAGAGTGAGGAACTGGAAATCCTACCTGCTCCTCTAGATCTCGAATCTCTCTCAAGATTGTACCGGTGTCCTCGATGGTTTGGATCAACTGATTACAGTTCTATTAAAGAATGTAAGATGGAGAGATGACATGTAACACATTCTCTGATAGGAGCAACAGATAAGAAGAAGAGTCAGACAATCATGATGACATACTTCATGCAGGGCTGCCAGGTACTTGTAAGATTTGCGGACGGATTCATCTTTTTTGGCGTCCTTCAGATGACAAAAACATTAATGAATTAAAACATGAAAAATTTGTTCAACAAAGAACACATTCTTATATATTGAAAACAACAATTTCAAAAATCCTCAGGATTAAAGAGCACACATACACTTGAATGCAACAAGTACTGAAAAATAGATTCTGCTACCTTGAAGACCAGCTCATCAGTGACAGCAAAGGTTCTGTCCAGTTTCCCTGTCAGGTTGTTGATCTCTTTCTGGAGCTCCTTAGTGTCTGACAAAATCTGCAAGGAAAGTGAGCAAAGTAGTGATGGGGGGATGCAACAGCTGGTACACAGCACACACTCAAAGCTCAGACCCACCGATGCAGGAACCTCACTGACATGAATGGATTTCCCTTCAAAAGGTTGCCGTTTGCTGGCCACCGAACTGTTGTTTTTGTCATAAATACCTTCACACAGAACTAAAGCCAAAGTTTTTCAAAGTGAGGTTCATTTTCTGAGCTTTCGCACCGTGAATGAAGGCATCAACCAATCACGTTGTGATACATTTAAATCATACACTATAGAGTACACCAACAGGAAGGCTCCGTGGTCCAAACCAAGAAGACAAACTTTAATAGTCCTTTCAACCAGGGGCGTCGTTAGGCTGAAGCCCCCCTAAAATGTTCTTCAGCCCCCCCAAATAATTTGGCATTATTGGATTTAAAAAAAAAAAAATAAATAAAAAAATAAAAAAAATTTGGTGATGTCATTAAATTAAGCTATTGTTTCTCACATGGACAAGTTATTTATAACTCTAACATGCTACATACGTATGTGCGTGCGTTCTGGTTTATGTTTTCTCCCCCTTCAAATTACAATCCAATAGCCTATCATCATACTTAACGATATACAGTGCATCCGGAAAGTATTCACAGCGCTTCACTTTTTCCACATTTTGTTATGTTACAGCCTTATTCCAAAATGG